AAAAAATTTTTTTTGACATGGGAGTCATTTATGATCCAAGCAACAGCCTATATTCCTTTAGACTATGGGAATAAGAAAATGAACTAGTATTTGGAGAATGCACAAGAATAAACCCTTCTCTCTCAAGCATAAAAACACCTGCATGCTTTGCCAGATTCAGTGATAGGGTTGGCTCAATCATGTCTATTCAGCAACCCACAGTGCATCTGTCTTCCTTGACCACAGAAACAATCATATGATTTAGGACAAAAAAATTGTAATGACTGATATTTATAGAGATCTATAAAGTTTGTAAAGCACTTAAACTATGTGATCTCATGTGAGCCTTACAATAAACTTAAGTGGGAAGTACCTCAGGTGTTAGAGGGGTGACTGAGACTCAGGCGAAATGACTTGCCCACTGTCACAAAGTTAGGAAGTATCAGTGGCAGTATTTAGAATCATAGGTTCAGAGATAGAAGGGCACTCAGAGGCTATTTGGTGAATCTTCTTCATTTTACAGATGAGGAAACTGAGGCCCAGAGGTTAAGGTGACATACTAAACACATAGGCATTAAGTGTCTAAGTCTAGATTTGAACCCAGGTCCTCTCAACTCAAAGCCAGTGTTTCTTCCATGACACCATCTGGCACCTAGTTCTCCCTGAATTTACTGAGCACTCTATCCATGATTTAGAGATCTAATGGACCTTATAGGTAGTTACTGCTAGCTAATCTTAACCGGGTCCTCACTGCAGCAGGGCATTCATACTACTTCTTCATAATTAATTTCTTTTTTTTTTGGTAGGGAGGGCAAGGCAATCAGGGTTACGTGACTTGCCCAGGGTCATACAGCTAGTAAGTGTCAAGTTTCTGAGGCTGGATTTGAACTCAGGTCCTCTTGACTCTGGAGCTGGTCCTCTATCCACTGCACCACCTAGCTGCCCCACATAATTCATTTCTCATCACATTAACTATAACTATTCTAAACCTTCTCTTTTTCCTTCAAGTTTCCCCTATCACTACCTCCCCTCCACTCTCTATGCTTAGAACATTACCTTATAATTCACCAAAAAAAAATGAGGCTGTTCATCAAGAGCTCGCTCTTCTCTAATCTCTTCTCACACACCCCCTGACACAATCTTCCACTATTTCCTTTGCTCCCATCTCTGATCATGACATAGCCTTCTGCTTGCCAAGATGAACCCTTCTATGATGTACCCTTGATCTCATCCCCAAACATCTTTTCCAAAAGATTTCCCCCATCATCATCCCCACTCTCTCTAATCTTCCATCACTTTCTATCTACTGGCTGCATTCTGGCTGTCTATAAATACTCTGAAATCTCCCCAATGCTTGAAAAAACCTTCATTAGATCCTATCAGTCTCATGTCCTTTCCTTGTAACTCCTCAGTAAAGCCCTCTACAATTAGAGCCTCCACTAATTGTTCTCCCTTTTCTAAACCTTGTGCAATCTAGTTTCAGACCTATCACTCAACTGAAATTGCTCTCTCCAAAGTTACTAACAATCTGCCAAATCCAATTACCTCTTCTTAATCCTCATCCTTCTTGATGAGCATTTGATACTGTTGATCACTGGCTCCTCTAGGATATATCTCTGATATGGCTCTCCCATCTGACTACTCCTTAGTCTCATTTGCTGTATTGTCATCCATGCCACATCTAAGAATAGGTAGATGTATCCCAAGGTTCTGCCCTGGACTCCTTTTTTCTTTTGGTTTTCTTAAGTGGTGATCAAATCAACCCCCATGGGATCAATTATCATTTCTATAACTAACTAGCCCTAATCTGTCTCCTGAGATCTAGTCCCATATCACTGACTAACTGTCTTGTTGGGCATTTAGAATTGATTGTCCCTTAAGCATAGCAAACTCAACAAGTCTAAAAGAGAATGATCTTTCTCCCCAATCCTCTCTTCTTCTGACTTTCACTATTATTATATTTTGTGCAACTCTGCCTCACTTAAATCCAATTTATGCAAGTTAAGATATCATCCTATTATGTTATTTGTCTTCCTCAAAAACAAAGAATGAACAGCAACATTATTGTGATGGGAATTAATATCCTTCCAAGTCACCCAGATTCAAAACCTCAGTGTCATTATGGAATATTTACTTGCTCGCCTCTCATATCCAATTCACTTCCAGATCTTGCAATTTCTTTCTCTACAAAATCTCTCACATGCATTCCCTTCTCTCCACTCACATCGCCACCACACCAGTTCAGCTTCTTGTCTGAACTATGGCAATAGCCTTCTAATTTATTTCCCTACCCTATGTGTCTCCTCATCCTCCAGTCATCTGCCAAAGTGATTTTCCTTAAGTGTAGCTCTAATACCCCGGCTTGTCAGTAACTATTATCCAAGGGATCTCTATCTAAAGTGTTGTTGTTCATTCATTTCAGATATGTCCAATTCTTTGTGACACCATTTGGGGTTTTCTTGGCAAAAAATACTGGAGTATCTAGCTCATTTTACAGATGAGAAAACTGAGGCAAACAGGGTGAAGTGATTTGCCCAGGATTGCACAGCTCATAAATGTCTGAAGCTAGATTTGAACTCAGGTCTTCCTGACTCCTGGCCCAGCTCTCTATCCACTGTGCCACCTTCCTTCCTCATATCCTAAGCACTTAACAAATGCTTGTTGACCGATTGATTGACTAAAGTGTATCTAGTGCAATCCCCTAGTACAGATGAGGAATGTGACCTCCAGACAGGACAAGTGAATAGCTCTATCTCAGACAACTTATAAGGGCCCAAAGTAAGTAGAGTGCTATACAGTTACCCCTTCCACATGGTGAGGGTTAGGGTGGTGCCCGTATAATCTGGAAAATCCACCTAAAATTTTTTGACCCTCCTTTTGTACCATAGAAGCCTGATTTTTTTTTCTTTTTTTTCTTTTATGGGGTGTTTCCAGTACCTTATTGTAAAATTTGGGTTAAGAATTTGGTCATAGACTCTGTGTCATCTGCTGGCCTTCACACGTCATCTAGGGCTGCTGCAAAACTCCTCTAATAATCCCATTACATTTCTTATGCTGACCCTCGATATATCAAAACCGTGATGGGGAAAGTCGTGACGTCAAAGGGCTAACTGTACTTAAGAAACAGGAAGATCTGAATTCAAATCATGCTTCACTCCATTGCTATCTGGGTGACCTTGGGCAACTCATTGGGCCTGAATTAGCTTCAGTTTTCTCAACTGAAACATGAGTGGATTTGACTTGGTGGCCTCGAGGTCCCTTCCAGCTCTAAAGCTACGAATCTATGATCCTAGGTGTGAAGGTTCAGATCTCAACACAGCTTCCCTGACCTCACGTTCTATAATGTTCTTCTCATGATACCACAGGTCACCAACAATCCGGTAACTTCAAAGCCCAAAATCCCTTTAGTTTTCTCTAAACATTATTCATTACCATGTCTAGGAAGATATTTTCTAAGTTCAGTTCAATACAAATCAAGAAACATTTATGACTTATGTTTCAGGTGGAAGGGATATAAAGGAGAAAATAAAATAATTGTGCCTCCCCTCAAAGTGCTTATATTCTTTTTTTGGGGGGGAGAGGGTATATAATACATAAATAAATATAACGCAAAATAATTTGAAACAAGAGAGAACCCTAATAACTGAGGGGAATCAGAGAAGGTTTCATGGAGGGGGGTGAAGCCTGAGTTAAATCTTGAAAGAACCTAAGAACTCTAAGAGATAGAGGTGAGGAAAGAGTGTCTTCCAGTTACAGGGAACAACTGGTACGGAGTCACACAGATAGGATATGGAGTACCAAATTTGGGGAAGGCCAATTTTGCAAGAAGACAACATGTATTAGAAGAAATAAAGTGAAACAATTCTGGAAATTTAACCTGGAGGGTAAAAATGAAGGTATTTGAATATTAAGCAGAAGAGTTTATAATTCATTCTAAAGGTAATAGGGATCCAACATCACTTCTTGAATAAGGAAGTGATGATGAGATTTTCACAAGATCATTTTGGCAGCTCTGTGGAGGATGGATTGATAAGGGGAGAGATTAAAGAAACAGAGAATAATGATACTAAAAATTTCATCCTGGTCCTATACAATTCAAAGCACCTAGGAAAAATGATGAGACTACCTTTGTAATGTCACACTACTAAGTTTCTTCAACAACTTCTTGGACAACTCCACAGATCTAAGCAAGCATTTTCTCTTTGACATTACAATTATAAAGAGCTCCCTAAATCCATTTCCTTCCAATTTCTATTTCATATGTTAAGTCATATCAGTTTTATATCAATCCAATGGACCTAATGAGTGGGGACCAATTCACGGTTGGGACCACGAGAATGGACCAACTTTCATTGTTGTTGTTGGGGACAGGTACTCTGAAATCATAACTTAGGAAAAAATAAGAAATGCAAAAGTAAATTTAACCCATATACACTCAAAATACGTAGGACAAGAATAGATCTTTCCTATCCCGATTTTAATGACAGTTACAAACATTGTGGTACTAATTTGAACCTTCAAATGTTTAGTATTAGTCCAAATATTCTCATTCTATAAAATCTAAAATCTTCTGGATAATCTAAAAACAATTTTCATAACCTATTCATATATGCCAATAATTAACTCCCATCTTAGTTCAATATTTCCCAATCTGAATATACAAATGAACTGTTATTTTGTCAATGCATGGGTAGGAAATCCTTCTGCCAAGCAACTCATCCGTGATAACCTATCCAACTACTATGGAGAAGACTGAAACAATTTTAAACTAAGTAACTAGCCCAGGGTCCAACCATTAGTATGTGTCATAGGCAGAATTAAAATCCAAGCTTTCAGGCTCAAGGCCCAGCACTCTGCCCATTCTGCCACATTTTCTCCATTTAATTCTCAGTATATTGACAGGAAACTCTTTTTACAAAATGTTTAAAAAATGGCTCAATTTTCATGGCAATAGTACGAGTCTTCCCAGAAAACAACAAAATTCAGAAGGAATATCTTGACTTTGAACTCTTTTAACTTACCTCAGTGTGAAATGATCCTCAGTGGAATTTCTAGAGACAGAAACAGGAAAAGTCAAAATCTCTCCTTGTTTGGCAGTTTTGGCCACATAGTGGATGGCAACATTGCTATCTAAGTGAAGTTCCCTCCAAGAAGGGCTCCCACTGTGAGTCTGGTAGAGAAACACACTCCCAATCCTCTGCAAGGGAGGACCCACTTCATCAATATCATTGTGGCCTGGTCGGATTCCATTGTTTTTCCTTGTCTCTTCCTTGGTACAATCTCCTTTCTCATCTCCAGGTTGGATGGAATAGTAAAGCTCTACAGGACTTCCTTCGGATTGATCCATTGACTTTTTCCTCCCTGCAACCACAGTCGGGGGGCTAAACCAGCTGGACAGGAGTTCCAACTGAGCTACACACAGTCCGAGTTCCCCTGCCAGGCGGCAGCTGCCTCTCACCTCCCTGGTCTCCCTGAAGGCAAACACTCGGAGGCAGGGCAGCCTCTCTGTGGTGCTATGGTCATCCCAATCCCTGCCCACTATGTAGAACAAGATTTGAACTCTGGGCCTACTCAGGTAGATTTTATCACTCATGATGTAGGCTTTTAGCTTCCAATTGAGAGCAAATTTGTTGGTAGATGCAAATGGATTGGAAGGCAACAGCAGGTCCTGGGGCACGAGTTGTTCCACAGAAAAAGGCCCATAGCTGGCATTCAAGGAAGGTGCCATCTTGGATTTATAAATCAGAAAGGATTCCACCCTGGATTGCAAACTTGAGTTTCTCATGATGTCCTGGTTGGCTTCCTTGAGGAAGAAGGAGATATCAGCATTGTTGATACGGTAGCTCACAGGAAGGTAGGTGGGCAGCAGGGAGAATCTCTGGATGCTCTCTAAAATCCCTCGGCTCTCGGACACTGTGGGGAGGAAATAAAATCTTAGGTGTCAGTTGAAAAGCTTAAAGGAAGCCATAAAGCAATTCATTTCATGGATAGTAATTCTCTTGGAACTGGTACAGTGCTCCTTAGGGTTGGCCTGTATGATAGTGGATAGACTGCTGGGCATAGAGTCAGGAAGGACGTGGTTCAAATATTTCTTCAGATATTTACTAGCTGATCACTACCTGGGCAAGTCACTTAACCTCTGCAGCTTGTTTCCTCATTCACAAAATGATGGGGTCAGTTTCCGTGGCCACTGAAGTTCCTTCTAACTCCAAAACTATAATCCTATAATAACAACTCATTTCTATTTTGCTTTAATTTAGACAAAGTGCTTTCCCTATTAACGAGCATTTTATCCACATTTTATATACGGGGAAACTGAGGCTCAGAAGAAATAATGATGATGATCATGATGATCATGATATCTCTCAATAACTCTATGAACAGTATATTACTATTTTTTTTAACTAGAACTATGATATCAGTGGTTATAGGGACCTCCCTTGACCAATGTAAATTAATATCTGCTCTATCTCTATAGCATGCAATCCTAGACAGCTGAGTTTAATGTTTAGCACACCGGCTTACACATGGTAGGTGATTAATAAATGTTTATTTTGCCTGACAGACAGTTGCCTGGGGCATTGAGAGATTGAGTGAGTCATTCTGGGTCACACTGCCAACACCTGAGAGAGGGAGGATTTAAGTTTCTGTCTTCCTGATTCTAAGGTGGGTTCCTATCCATTATGCCACTTTCTCCTAAGGCAGTCCAATCCAAGTTTGGATAGTTCTGATTGTTATAAAGAATTATTGTTGGTCCCATTTTATAGATGAGGAAACTGAGGCTCAGTTATGTTTGGTGAATTGCCTGTAATAATAATGTTAATAATAGTAATAATGATAATAATAATAACAATTTTGTACATTTTACTATTTTTTTCCCAGCACTATACCTGTGAAATTAGAAAGCACCAGCATCATCACCATTAATTATCATTAATGATAACAACAATTACCATGATCATGGTACAGATGAGAATACTTTCCTAAGGTCACATAACTAGCAAATTTCAGAGCCAGCATTTAAATTCTGCTCTGTTCTGGCTCGAAGTTAAGCCTTCTTCCCACCATGTTTCTTTGCATCTTCCTCATACAACAAGTGTTTAATTTGACCCAAATTTTTTAAAAAGAATTTATTAAGCTCATATTCTGTGTCAGGTACTATTAATAGATTCTGAGGACACAGAGACAAAATGAAATAATGATTGCCCTCAAGGAGCTTACATTATATTGGGAAGAATCAACTTGTGCACATGTAAGTAAATATGAAATCAACATAAAGTGATTGGGGGGGGTACAGATCTAATTTGAAGGGCAGTTTAATAATAATATAGTAAGAGGTCCAGAGGACACAATGGGAGGGCAGTGTAGAGTGGGAAAAGGACACCAGAGGTATGGCAGTTATATTAAAGAATGTTTAAGAAAGGAAGATTCGTCCTAGCTGGTCTGCCACACAGAAACACAAGAATATCAAGGAAAGTTATAGGACAGTTGCATGTATCCACTGGGGTTTCCGTGGTGATAGGGGAACTGACCATCATTGAAATCTGCCAAGAGGAACCTTATAAAATGAGACCAAATGACAGAAACCTAGGACACTCTGTTCCTGAGGGAGGCCTAAAGGGAATTGCATCTCAGTCCCAGGAGTTTACTGTACCTGACTCCTGGACAAATAGGAGTTCTGACTGGCCCATAAATAAACAGGATGAGTTGACCTGAATTTGATTTGTCCTGAATCTTTTACCAACAGCTCAAAGGCACAGAACATAAGAAGCTTCCATAAAAACAACAACAACAACAACAACAACAAAGGTCCTTTCTAAATAAATCACTTCTTCAATGGAAAATCATTTTCTTCTGTACTTCTGCTCTTTTCCTGGAGTTGTGTGTAAAATACAGAAACAAAAATAATAGAGTCTGTAGAACCAGTATATCCACTGCATGCTCAAGTCAATCAACCAAGTCGAAAGGTCTTTATTAAGCTAATTGGGTGCCAGGCACTGTGCTAGGCCCTAGGAATAAAAAGATTGGCAAACAAAAACTGGTGCCTGCCCTCAAGGAGTTTATAGTCTAATAGTAAAGACAAAATGCAAACAACTACATATAAACAAGATATATCTAGGTTAAATTGGAGCTGATCTTAAAGGAAAGGCACTACCAGGATTAGGAAAAATAAGTTACTTATTCTGGAAACTCTTGCTTCCCAAAAATTCATAACAAATCACACTCTAATCATTCTCACTAAATCTCTGGTAACTGTAAGGTTGAGCACCTATTGGTATTTTATTCCAAAAGACAGCACCAATAAATCACAGAATCACTGAAATTCATAACTCAGTGGGATCTCAAGAGTGTGGCCTGTGATTGAAGAAAATCTTTATCTACGTCATATCCTTTAAAGTCATCTAGGGTTACTGAAACCATTTCAATGTACCTTTTGGGTGTTATCTGGGTCTTGTGTAGGCCTAGGCACACTTTTTTTTTAAGCAATTGGGATCAGGTCACACTTTTTAAAAAAGGATTTAATTATGTTTGGTGATTTGCCTGCAATAATAGTAACATAATACTATAATAATGATTATCATAACAATAATCCTTCTGTTTATGCTAAGGGAACATGTATTATGTTTTCATTTCAAATATGAATTATAAAATATACTGAGGATTTCCTGTCTCCTCTAGAAGGATGCCCCCCATTATCTCTAATATCTCTCATTTTCAAGCTTTATTTATCTACTTGCTTCTTCTCTCGTTACTATAAACAGGCCCATGTCTCCTCCATGCTCAAAGAACCCTCATTTGATCTGACTATTTATGCTGCCAATAGTTCTATATTCTCCTTCTGTTCTCAATTAAACTCCTTCAAAAAGTGACTTGTACTCAATGCCTCCTCCTCTTCTCATCTAACTCTCTTCTAAACACATTGTAATCTGGCTTTTGGCTTCTGATTTATCACCTTCTTTTCCGGATACACTCTCCTTTCTGAGTTTTCATCCTTGACCTGCCCTGTAATCGTTGATATACCCCAGGGCTCTGTCCTGGGGCCTTGTCCCTTCTTCATGTTATTTTCCTTGGTAATCTAATCAACTCCCTTAGGTTCAGTTATCTCTCTGCAAATGATTCCCAGATTAAAATAGCCAGTCCTGGTTTCTTTTCAGAACTCCTATCCCCCATTTTCAATTGCTTGCTAGACATCTTGAACTGGATGTCATGTAGGTATCTCAAACTCAATATGTCTAAAATAGCACTGATGATTCCCCCCCAACCCCTCTGCTTTCTAAGCTTCCCTATTATTATCAAGGGTACCAACTGTTCTCTCAATCATATAGACTCAAGCTCTGTGTCATTCTCAACTCCTCATTCTTGCCCCATAGATCCATTCTGTTTCCACATCTTGACATTTCTAGCCACTACCCTACATCATGCTCTCATATGTCTCATCTGAACTATTATAAAAGGTTTCTAACTGGTCCCCTGCCTCAAGTCTCTCACCACATTAATCCATTCTTCATTCAGCTGCCAAAGTTGTTTTCCTAAAGCCTAGTTCTAACCATGATATCCTCCTGCCCAGTAAGCTCCAATGGATCCTTGTTACTTCCTGGCATCTAACATCCTTTACAACCTGTCCCTTTCCTAACTTTCTAGTCTTTTCATACTTTACTATCTTCCACATACCATATACCACAGCTGTATTGTGCTATTTTCTGTTCTTAGTACATGACCCTTCATTTCTCACCTCTGAGCCTTTGTCCTGGCTGTTCCCCATACCTGGAATGTTCTCCTTCCCTCATCTCCCCCTCTTGAAATCCCTGGCTTCTTTCAAGATTCAGCTAACACGATCCGTTGTGCAGAACTCCCCAGTCACCTCAGACACATGAGCCTTCTCCACGGAGGCTGCCTTCCTTTTACTCTTTACTTACCTTGCATTTACTCATTTATTTACCTATTGTCTCCCCTACTAGAATGTAAGCTCACTAAGGGTAGGGGCTCTGTTATTTTACCTTTTCTTTTATATTTCCAGCTTTTAGCAGAGTGTCTACATATGATAAGTCCTTAAGAAATGCCAATTGATTGATTGAGATTCTGTGATAGGCACTAAGGAAAGAAAGAAAAAACAAAATGGCTCTCTCCCTCAAGACATTTACAGGCTGCTGGAGTAGAGGCAGCAGCCACATGTGTGCATAGAAGTAAATTAAAATTCATACAAAATAAATATATACATAGTAATATATAATAAATAATAAATACATAATAAAATTATTAATACATAAATTAACTACTAAACAAATTAATCCAAAATAAATAAATGCCAGTGCAGTGATTTCTGGCACTGGAGAGCACTATTAACTGGGAGAGTTAGGAAAGGCTCCTTATTGGAGATGATGATTGAGCTGAGCCTTCATGGGAGCTCAGGGTTCCAGGAGATAGAGATGAAGTGGGAGAACATTCTGTGCAGGAGGGGTGGGCTGTGCAAAGAGGGAAGATAAGTAGGTGATCAGATGATCCTCAAAGTAACTGGTTTCCTGGAAGAGCTATATCAATCATTCCTGACTCACCTCAGTGCTATAGATCAACACCTTAGCTATAATGCCCAACAATACCTCAGGCTAACTGTCAAGCAGGTTTTTCATTCCTTTGCAAAAGTAAGCAACCAAGACACACTCAGTTAAACATTAATCGCAGGCACCAAAGCCCAGGGACCTTTTCTGTCTGAATACCTGACCCCTGTTTCTCAAGGGCACAAACCTTAATTGTGCGATAAATTACATATTTCAGGGCAGCAACCTTAGCTCACTCCACTTACAGAGACAAGCAACATGAGGTCATGTCGGACATCACTCAGAGGGAACTAATTTTTGTAGCTTTGTTCCACAAATGGTCTATTAGTCCTTTCACTGGGCATCTGACCTCAATGT